TCTTTGGACAAGGATGCGTCTGAAGTTCTTCTGATTCCTAAACTTTGTTACCAGCTCATTTTTAGGTCTTGCACTTGAGTACCGTGTACCCAACTATGACAAAAAGGTACCGAACTAAAGCGCATTCTTTTCCAACGAAGAGTTACTCATGTTCGGTTTTATCTTCGTAACAACTAGTGTCCCGAACGTCAACTAGTGCCCCATGTTCGAAGCTCCCTCATTGGGCTGCACCGAAGCCATACCGTTCTGTACATTGCCAAAGTGGTTCTTAGACCACACTGACCACAACCACCCGGTCAAAGCAAGACTGAGCAGTAGTGCCAGCTGTCAGCACCAACCGGCCAGGAAAAGCCTTGCACTGCCAGATGGAAAAAAAGCTTTTCACTTTTAGCCGATCACCCAATCGGTTAAAAACAAGTACTCAAAGGTCGCAGTGATCAAAATAGAGAGTGTGTCTTCAATTAGGCATGTTCACTCCTAAGAACTTCAAGAGAAGAAAGTCATCAAGGACATATTCTTGACTTGAGTACTTTCGCAGCAATGTTCCAATGTCAGCCAATAAATGCTTTGCATTCATTGGCTGGACTTGAGTCGCAACAAGATCAGCTTGAGCAAATGCGGTGCATATCTCAAACGATTGAACCATGCAACACTGCTAGGTGCATATCGCTTGTTCGACCCAACTTACTCGGAACTTATATGGCTGCTGCTCTGGTAACTACTGCTTTTATCAGTCGAATCAAAGTCGCCCCCCCAATTTCTTGCCCAACATCTTCTGCAAGGACTTCTGGATTGTTCTCTGGATCGTCCGTTCCTTGTTTCCGGGTCACAACAGGTCGTAATCTCTTCCAACATGCAGCAAACGAGAGTGGAGAGTGGTAAATGGAGTTGAACCATACAAGACAAACAAACCATTAGACACACCATGCATAGGACACACCACGCTGCAACTGGCAGCAATAAAGTTCACTAAAGTTGCCAAAGTGCAACTCCACTTTCGTCCTCGTGTCCTTTCTTCTCCGGCCAGGGCAAGGAGGGATCTGGTCTTCCACCGAAGCGCAAGATTTGCTCTTTAGGCACCGGGTGCTCCAATGCGGCCTAAGTCAAATGAATGCTGCTTTCTTCTTTCATGTGTGTTTTGTTGTCTTTTGGACCTTTACACGTCTTCGCTTTTGTGGTTCCTTCAGCCTTTTCCTTGCAAAGTGGCTTCCATGGTCTTGATGCCGCCCGCCAAGCCCAAATCCCCTTCTTCGAAGTCCACCCGACGATCCAATGCCAAAGCACCAATGAAGCCTCTGCGACCAAAGAACTGTCAACGATCCGTCGACTATGACATCGCTGAATCCAAACTAATCATTGGCAACACGTAAAAGAAAACAAAACACATATCGACTTCCGTTTGTTTGGCTTACGTGTCAGTCGTGGGTTTCTGGGTGAAATCTTGACCTTGCCTTTCCATCGCTTTGGTTGGATATCCTTCAAGGTATCCAGGATGATCTTTCCACGCGCCAATCGCGCGTATCCCTTGATGTCGGCCGCCAGCGAGCTGTAGACGCCACAGAACTGGGAGACCAGCAAGTTGAAGAGAAAACCTGGAATACACAACACAGCCCCTTTCATCTCGTTTCTCTATGTTTCTTCCATGTCCTTTGTATTTAGACTGCATCTTCTTTAGGGCCTTTCTTTCAGTTGTGTTATGTTGTGTTTTTTAGACCTTTCTGCCGTTTTCTGTTTTTCTTTAGGCCTTCCTTACTTTTCCTCTTTTTTTTGCCCGTTCTTCTTTGGACCTGTGTTCCGTGTTATTTTATTGTTTAGACATTCCTTCCTTTTCTTTTTTCTAGAGCCCTTTCTTCCTGTTCTGCCTTTAAACCGTCTTCTTTGCTCTCTTTCTTGAGACTGTACCATTTTACGTTGTCTAAATGTTTCAGCAGAAAGCCTGGAGAATGAAATAATCCTTGTTTCCACTTGGGCGACAAGAGCTGAGTATGTCGGGAAAACGAAGGCTGGACCAAGCACCCGCCGTGAGGGCAGCATTTCTTTGCTTGGCTTGGATGAGACAACATTTCTTCATAGGGTAAGCACTGATCAGCTCTCACTATGGCCGGACAACCTAATTGAGGACAGTGCCACAATGTACACCACAGTGGAATTACATGTGCCCTCCACACCATCGCTAGTAGGTTGGAGGCCATCGCTAGTAGGTTGCAGGCCATCGCTACTATGGGGGAGGCCATCACTACTATGGGGGAGGCAATCGCTACTAGGTTTGAGGCCATCACTACTAGGTTTGAGGCCATTGCTATTAGGTCGGAGGCCATCGCTATCAGGTTGGAGGCCATCGCTACTAGGTTTGAGGCCATCACTACTAGGTTGGAGGCCACTGCTACTAGGTTGGAGCCCATCGCAATTAGGTTGGAGGCCATCGATAGTAGGTTGGAGGCCATCGCTACAAGGTTGGAGGCCATCGCCAGCAGGTTGGAGGCCATCGCTAGTAGGTTGGACAGACGATGGCGTGGTTTGTAGGAGGAAGAGCTCTATCTTAAATGGTGAAAATGATACAACCTGACCCTGATAGCACCTGGAAGCGATGCCCTCCAAACTACTAGCAAAAGGAACCTAATAGGAATGGCCTCCAAGCTACTAGCAATGGCCTCCTACTAGCGATGGTCTCCAACCTACTAGCGATGGCCTCCAACCTAAGAACGATGGCCTCCGACCTAATAGCAATGCCCTCCAACCTAGTAGCGATGGCCTCAAACCTAAGAGCCATGGCCTCCATCCTAGTAGAATGGACCGTCCCCTACAAACCACGCCCATCCAAGATTTAAACGTATTTCCACCGCATCCACCTCATCCACCTTCCAGATCCTGTATCACGTCGTTCGTAAATCCAACCTTGTACTTTTGTGAAGAGCTGAACAACAAAACATAGTGGAAAGGAATCATCTAAAGACAGCATACATATATATATATATATACGGTACCCCCCAAAAAAACCTATGTTCACCTCACTTTTGCTGGTATTTGCAATATTGTGTGTCTATTTTTGGAGGCCTTTTGGACCTTGGTTTTTGGTACCATACAAATGTATATATATATATACTGCAGGTAGGTTGCATAACTTGTTTGTCCAGAGATTACAAAAATTCCGGCATGTTAAGTAACTTTGGAAGGAATGCATTCAGAATGCATTCTTGTTCAAAACCAAGATCCAAGATTCCCACAAGACTCCTGGCTAAAATCTTGGATTGATACAATGACAAGGATGTTCTGGCAAATCCCAAATCCAAGATTTTCCACAAAACTTCTGTGCAAATCTTGGATCTTGGTTTTGGGAAGGAATGCATTCTCTGGCATTCTCTGGTAGTGACAAAATTGGTTTCTATATGTCTCATTTAATCCTATTTTGATTCTAGCTCAACGCACATGGAATTCTAATTCAGGTTTGATGTCATTTTGGAGAGTGGGTGTTGCTGGGGGTGAATTTAATTCAGTTAAGAAAGCAGATGCTTCTATATAGGAAAACACTATATAATTACTTTACTTCGAGTGATCCCCACCATGACATTCACATGCTGTGTTGCAACATGCTGTCACGAACACAGCAACTTCAAACATTAATATACAAAGGATCAAATCGAATTCAGCAAAGCACCAACAAATTATCTTGCTTCAAGTAATCCCCGTGTTTCACCTGGCACTCTATCTCTCATATCTTCTTGCATTCTATCTGGCAATCTATCTGACATACTATCTGGCATACTGTCTGGCATTCTATCTGACATTTTGTCTGGCATACTAAATGTCATTCTATCTGGCATATCTTCTGGCATTCTATTTGGCATTCTATCTGGCATATTTTCTGGCATTCTATCTGGCAATGTATCTAGCAATCTATCTGACACACTATTTGGCATACTATCTGGCATATCTTCTTGCAGCATTCTATCTGGCAATCTACCTGGCATTCTATCTGGCATTTATCTGGCAAACTATCTGGTTGAGGTCCAGCGGTGCACACTGCGATCGGATCCTTGCGGTTGAGGTCCAGCGGTGCACACTGCGATCGGATCCTTGCGGTTGAGGTCCAGGGGTGCACACTGCGATCGGATCCTTGCGGTTGAGGTCCAGGGGTGCACACTGCGATCCGGAGCTTGCCAGACAAGATCGGCGAAGCAGATTGGCGAAGCAGATTGGCGAAGAAGATTGGCGATGAAGATTGGCGATGAAGATTGGCGATGAAGATTGGCGAGGAGGTTGGCGAGGAAGGAAGCAAGGAGGAAGGAAGGAAGAGGAAGAACAACTGTGATAAAATCTAACAACCCTCACCTGGCAGGTGGGGAAAATCTCTCATGTTCAAAGTAACACCATTTCTCTAGAAGTAAATGATAATTTCATTCAAATTCAAACTATATAAACTGAAAAAGAAGACACTATTAGGATTGAATCTGACTTGTATAGCAATGAAGTTAGAATTAGCTTGAAATCAAACTAAAATTAGGCTTGCGTTGAATCCCAAGTAAATTAGAAGAATCTATAGTGGTAGACCTTTGAATCAAAGTAGAATTTACAAATAGACTTAAATTGGAATTTAAATGTACAAAGTAGAGTAGAGTTGAATAGATTGTGTCTGAGAAATGTGTCTTTAACATTCTTGCTGTCATATCATAACATCTGTCTCTGGCACATAACAAAATCATACGGAGTAACACCAGGACTCAGAAACATAGGTTCTTTTGGGGGGCTAGCATATATATATATATATGGACGCATAGCAAGAAAACCATAGACCGTGTTTGCTTCGGGTCCCATTTTTCTTGCCACCAACGAGAACGCTGTCTTCTTTACCTTGAGTCTTCCGTTTTTTCCCTCACCAATAAGCCTATGTAAGGCATACTATCCTATCCCTGTTACTTGTCAAAAGAAGTCTTCCTTTTTTCTTATTTCTTGATCCTTTCACTGACCGTCAGTTAGACAGCATCTGGCCCGTGAGTTCTGCCAAACACGTTGGAATCCACAGCAAATTCGACAAAGCTTCAAATCCGTGTGGTTAGAGCTGATTTTCCAAAACCAAATGATATCCATCCTGTGCTAGAGCTGCTGGGTTTGCCCCAATGAGACTAAAGAACTTCAAAGTGTTGAAAAACCACCTGATGAGCACTCCAAGCTACTGTACACCAGCAACATGAAGACCACCACAAGGATCAGGAGGAAAGGACTCTCATCGCCAAGGCTATGAAGGACTTGTAGATCCATCACACCGGCACACATCTGAACCAAGGTGCCCATGGTTGACCCCATGTTGCTCCACTCATGAGCTGAGAGTTGTCCTACCTGAGGTCATGTTCACACAAGCTGAAGAGGAGACATGTCAGAGTACATCTCCGCAAGCAAAGGATGCTTTTTAGCTAAAATGTGGATTCACGGATTCACATATTGAACATTAAATGGATGGTGCCCTCCCGACTCCGTATTGGAATACTTCACAATCTACATCCTTTTCAACATGTCGCTTCGCTCGCCTCATGTGTTGCTGCTGCCATTGCAAAGGAGAAGGTGCAAACTGCAATGAATACTGCTCCAACACACAGCACCACTTGCTCAATTGCGTGTAGGCAAAGGACCCGATACTCCGAGAGCTTGATGGAAATGCTACCAACTTCCAAGACCAAAATGGTGTAGATGAAGATCCCCACAATTACAAAGACTTCGTAGGCGAATAGAATATCACCTGGCTTACCAAACTAGAACACTGCCTGTGGTCCCTATTTTTTCTTCATTCCACACGAAACAGCCAGCAGTGTCAAGGAAGCTACTAGGGGCTCCTGGCATCCCTACTAGGAACAAGGACGCTACTAGTAGCAGTGTCATTGGTTGCGACTCGAAGGAAAACCCGCCGCGACCGAAGCGCCGCCGCTCCGACTCGCACCCGCACCGGGTCGCGTCTCCAGGCCTGTCAAGTCAGTGCACTTAAAGGCAATGACCTCTTCCGAGCCCAAGCATCGAATCATCGGCTCAAAGACAATCATGCAAATCTCGGCTCAAAAGACAATCGCTCTTGGGGTGGCCATTGCTATTAGGTTGGAGCTAGTAGGTCCGAGGCCACCTGGTACTTGTCCTAGTATGATGTATCAAACAAATGAATCACACGACTTCTCCCCCGCTGTATTGGGGAGTTGTCAACTGAAATTGCGGCCAGGCAGCCATGTCGAGCATGAGCAAAAAGCTTAAGAATTCTGGCCCCTGCGTCAAATATTGTGGGACATCCACGCCACACACTTTTTTGAATGTCCCGTCCCTGAGGGACTTGTAAATGTGTAGCGTGTGCGAATAGAGTAGTTTGCCAAATCCCAAGAAGTAGACAAGCGCCCTGGCACAGGCCAGAATCACCGCCGAAGCTCTGGCATCTTCCATCTCCAGTTGATTGAGGTAGCATCCCGATAAGAGAAAAATCAAAAAGTTGATGAGTGTTAGTATCCTGTCTGAGACAAAAAAACGCATGGCCAATTTGTCCCAAAGGAGGTCGAGCGTGAAGGTCAAGATGGGGTGCATAATGGTCTTGGGATGGTTGAATCTCACCAAGCTCCTCGGAGACAAACAGCCATAGCATGACAGTTCAGGTACTGTGCATGGTCATGATACCGGAAGTGATGCTTTCAAAGCAATGCGATTCACTCTTCCTGGGTTCATTGTGGTTGATCCCTCAGAAGTGGAACTCATGTGAACCCAATTCTGTGTTTGGCAAGAATCTTCAAAGCCGTTGAGATCCTCTTGTTCTCATCCATGCTACTAGCGATGGCCTCCAACCTACTAGCGATGGCCTCCCACCTACTAGTTGTGCTTGGCAAGAATCTTCAAAGCCCTTGAGATCATCTTGTTCTCATCCATATCTTGTAACATATGTTCGAGGTAGTAGATCACTGGGCGCCAGCCATCCTGCGTCTTATGAGAACGCCAAATGAGACCATCCAAGAGGATCTCGGCCAAGTGGGGTGCTTCACGCAAAATGTTCTCCACCTCATTCTTTGGAAATGGATTCAGAGTAGATGTGCAATACTATTCAGCCACAAAAGAGGCAAATGTACAAGTGTCTGCTGTGAGTGCTTTTACGCGTTGAAACCTTCAGTCATCCACCTCCGTCTGTTCGGGATCCGTTGCTGCAAACCATGGCACTACGTCAGGCTGAAGTCGGAATAGGTCATTCACGCCATAGTAATAACGGTCTCGGTCTGCTCGGATGGTGAGCACATCTTGAATCACTGTCCTACAGATGGAGATTTCGGAGCAGGTCAGACCCTGAGGGTCTGCAACCAGGTGTGGACGCACTGTTTGGCCTATTCTTTTGCGCAGAATGGCTGCAAAACAGATCCAACAACTCTTCGGACGCCGAATTGGTAAAACAAACCCTCTAATCAAACAAACAATGAATTGCCCTTTTGCAGCCAAGTGTCTTGGCCACGCTGTGTGCACCACTCCTCAGTGCCCAATAGAGTGGCGAGATGGATTGGCTCCCAACGCGAATGCTCAGCTGCCAAGTGAAGCGTTCACTCCGTGGTGCTTCGCGCAAAGCTCGCCGCAATCGCTTCGAATCATCCTGATGGATGGCCTTGCGCAAGCGGCGCAAGCTGATGAATCGCGGCAGATTGGCTTCACCACATAGTTTTCCTTGTTTCTACTCTTTAGTAATTGGAGCTTCTAGGTTGGAGGCTATCGCTACCAGGGTGGAGGTCATCGCTAGTAGGTTAAGTTCTACTCTTTCCTGTAATTAGATCTTAATAAGACCTTTCTTCCTTTAGACCTCTTTCTTCTTTCCAAGGTCTGAAGGAAGAGCCCACGATAGAACCAACACCCGTCTTATTGGGAAAATAAACATGTGTTTTGGCGGAGTTGCCAGCCCCATGTCATTTGCCGCAAACAGAGGCAGTCAAAAGATTTGCGGCATCCAGTTAAAGGCAGTATCCAGTATCTTTGATTTAAGTCTTGGACCGTTATCGGGGGTCAAATTGGTGTTCACCGGTGTCAACCTTGCAACCAATGGAATTCCCGAACCCAGTTTGAAGCAGTTTGAACCAAGCAAAGAGCTTACAGCCTTCAAAACCGGCGATAGATGCGATTCGTATCAAAGAGATGAACGCGCACCAGTCAGGTGGTTCCCGCACCAGTCCGACATCGGACCGACCCAGTCGAGATCCTTCGGATCCCACCAGCGCCTGCATCACAGCGGTGGAGCCCTCGATGATGGTCCTCACCAAAACGCGGCTCACCAAGCCGATGGACCAGCGGAAGCCTGGCAAGAACGCTACAAACGGGGCTCCTGGCATCGCTACAAGGAACAAGAAGCTACTAGTAATAAGGATAGAAACATACCCGCTAGGAGAATCAGAGAATGTCACGTTTTGGACAATCCGTCTTTGGCAGCTAAGTCCATCCCCGCAGGCGAGCCCAGTAAGGCGTGGCAAAGCAAGTCCGGAAAACACAATACAAGGAAAACACAATGTAGAACTGTAGAACGATCAAAAGTATGTACAAACAGTTAAATAAAAGTAAGGTCGAGTCTAAAGGTCAATACAGAATACAGAAAGAAAAGACTATTTCAAGGAATTCTGAGAGTGACCAGAGAAAAAAGGGAAGAGTAGCTAAGTTGAAGATCCAAAAGACCTACGTCCTCCTATTCTAGGTTGAAGGTCATCGCTGTTAGGCTGGAGGCCATTGCTAGTAGGAAGAGTACTCCTAATTGTTTCTATATACAAACATGTAACTCCATAGTAACAAGAAGCTTTCTAGTATGTCTTGGATGCTTCTTAGTAACTAGAAGTTTTTGTTTAATAACAAGGGCATTTCTAGGAGCAAGAAGCTACTAGTAACTCCTGGCCTTACTGCTAGTAACTAGAAGCTACTAGTAGCAAAGGCCATCCCTATTAGGAGCAAGAACGCTACTAGGGGCTCCTGGCCTTACTACTAGGAACAAGAAACTACTAGGGGCTCCTGGCATCGCTACTAGTAACAAGTGCCTTACTAGTAACAAGAAGCTATTGGGAACAAGTAGGTGCTCAGGAGCAAGGACGCTACATGTTTCCACGAGCCCATCGTCGCGTTTGGACCTTCCAAGGTCAAATGCTTCGAGAGCTCGCACTCGGGCAGCTCATGTGCTCGGTCGGCGGGGCAAAGAATCATCTTGCTGGACTCACCTCAAAAAGTCGTTTCTTTTTTTTCTTTTTTTCGTTTTCGTTCAACAATAGGAGAGGCCTTACCTGGAGCCGTGCCTGCCTTTTTTTTTCCCTTTCTTTCTCATGGCCTCCTATAGTCCAGGTAGTGGAAAAGGCAGCAGTACTGGCAGCAGTTAACTGTGAGGTACAATGTGCGCAATGGACACAAATAGGGATATCTTCGGAAAGACCAAGGGCATCTCTGAGAGAGACAATATCCCTCAAAACAACAGAGGTGTCAAGACTTGTCTTTTCATGTCTTTTCCATGTTTTTTTTCTAGGTCCTAGGTTGGAGGGCATCGCTTTTAGGTTGCAGTCTATCCCGAGTAGGTTGGAGGCCATCGCTAGTAGGTTGGAGGCCATTGCTATTAGGTACCTGTTCCATCCTGTTCCTCTGTTCCGTTGATTTTGCGGCCCCTGCGGGCTCACCTGTAGGCAAGGCTTCGATCAAGGGCTTCATCACCTCCACGCAGGAGTCGGTGAAAGGCCCGAAGAGCTCGATGGGAACCCCGTAACCCACATGACGAAGACCCAAAGCCGATAAGTCGTCCACCATTTCGTCCTGACATTTCGAGCCGATCAGTCGTCCTGAATCGTCCTGAATTTTGGTCGCCTTAATTTAATTGTTACTAGTAGTAACAAGGGCCACGCTAGTAGTAACAGGTGCCTTACTAGTAGTAACAAAGAAGCTATTAACTTTAATTATAGCAAACATTGTTAGTAGATTCCTTTGCTAGTAATTACAAGTGCATCGCTAGTAGTAACAAGTGCCTTACTGGTAGTAACAAGAAGCTAGTAATTACAATTCCAATTAATTTCTTATTGTTACTACTAGTAAGGCACTTGTTCCTAGTAGCGTGGCACTTGTTTCTAGATGCCATGTTTTGATGTGATGTGTTTCCATCGGTTTGCATGTAGTGATTGTTTCAAAGCGCTTGCCAAACACTGATGCTCAAGGTTTCAGGCATGGGTGTTGAAGTCAGTTGGTTCATACAAGTGCTCACTCTAGGCCATCGCTAGTAGGTTGGAGGCCATTGTTAGTCATCGCTAGTACTAGTGTTGAAGTAAGTTGGTTACTAGAATAATCATTACACTTAATTCTTGTTACTACTAGTAAGGCACTTGTTACTAGAAGCGATGCCCTTTGTTACTAGTAGCTTCTTGTTACTACTAGTAAGGCACTTGTTACTAGAAGCGATGC